GAGAAACTACATTAATGATGGGATAAAACGAGACTGAGAGAGAGGGGAAACAATGAGAAGGGTGAGAAAAGCAGGAGAAAGAGAGAGAGAGAGAGAGAGATAGAGAGAGAGAGAGAGAAAGAGAGAGAGAGAGAGAGAGAGAGAGAGAGAGAGAGAGAGAGAGAGAGAGAGAGAGAGTCGAGGAATGAGGAAAAATGGAGAAACGGAGGAAGTGACGTAAAGAGAATTAGACAAAGAGATACTGTGATTGACTGAGAGAAGGGATGGAGGGGAGAGGGACACACACACGCGAAATAAATGGAGTGAGAAATGAGAATCAGTGAGGAAGGAACTTAACTGAGGTTAATGATATGAGTAAGAGAGAGAGAGAGAGAGAGAGCGAGAGAGTCATGGCAGTATTACCAGATCTCCCTGTAGTATGAACCGCAAGATTAAAGTGGCTGGTAATGTTTTAAGGTCCCTCTGCTCCTTGGCAATACCTCAAGGTGCACACAACAGGTGAATCTCACTTGAATTTAGAGCGTGGATATTCTGTGAGTGGCTTTACCTAATGTCATATCCCTAGTACTGACAGCTGCTATTGTTATTAAAATATTTCAACAACAACAATCTAAAAGCCGATTAACATAAGATATCGTCGCGCGGCTCGATGCTTGTATGGCTGATGGTATGGAGTGTGGGAGGGTACTGTCCTCTCCTCCCGTCAATACAGGGTCACCTACCATCCCGGAACACTCCTATTCCATCTACCTGTAAGCTATGTTGTTTTGATTTTTGGCTACCTGTTGGTCATTCTCCGTTGAACAGCCTCGAGTGGCCCCACCTTGCTTGGCCACTCGCCCATGATTTGTTCACAGCTTGGCCACTCGCTTCCTGGCCAGCCATGTCGGGTCCGTATTTGAGAGGCCTCAGGATGGCCCACTCCTTGGCCAGCCGCCTCTGCCGCGTTTTTCGGGATGCCTAATGGCAATCTCCTTACTTAATCATTCACTCTCACAAACTAAATTACTTTGTCGGGATTTGTGGTCCCCTGTTGGCCATTCTCCAGTGATCACTGTCTTAAGACACTAAGCCTTGGGGTGGCCTCACCCTGCTTGGCCACTCGCTGATGTTTGGTTCACAGCGGAAGTGGTTTTTCATCTTGTAAATGAAGCGTACAGCCCATGTAAATTAATGGCTCTCATACCTCTCATAAGCAAATGGTGATGATGATGATATCTATGCTGTCCATAACAGGCTGTTAGGCCTATGGGACCCACTTGCTTTCATATACACACACACACACACACACACACACACACACACACACATATATATATATATATATATATATATATATATATATATATATATATATATATATATATATATATATATATATATATATATATACATATATATATATTCTTTCCGATAAACAAAGAAATCAAAACAATAACATCCTGTACCGCACGTCTCTAGAGATCCATTACCGACCTGGCAACTCCCGCGGCCACACACTAGGGACCCCACTGGGCTCTTCGACCCAGAAACAGTGAGTTTAACAGCTGCCAAGAACAAAAGTTAGGTTCCCGAGAGTGTAGCAAACGGCAGAGGTACTCTAGATAGTTCTTGTAAGATGAGCCCTCGTCCTTGGTACATTAACTCACCAGAAGATGGCAGCAGAGTCGGTATAAACATAGTTGTTGCCATTGATTACTTGGAGGTATTTTCTTCAACGTGTCCAATGTTTGCTTTCATTTTAGGCTGATGTAGACACAAAACTTACCAACAGATGTCACCAGTGTTGACGTAAACAACACTAGCGCCAGCCATCACTTGACTATTATCAATTCCATTATAGGTCTAATAAAAACGTTAAAATAAGGAAGGATTAAGATAACTAAAGGAAGACGAGAATCACTGAGGTCTGGCTGGTAGGGGTGGCAGGAGGGTGACATGAAGGGTGGTAAGAGGGGTGGCAGAAGGGTGGCAGGAGGGATGGTAGGAGGGGTGGCATGAAGGGTGGCAGGAGGGGTGGCAGTAGGGGTGACATGAAGGGTGGCAGGAGGATGGTAGGAGGGAGGTGGCATAAGGGGTGGCATGAAGGGTGGCAGGAAGGGTGGCAGGATGGAAGCAGGAGGGGTGGCTGGAGGGTTGGCAACAGGCAGGAGAGAGAATACGACAAGAGAAGGAATGACACATTATTTGAGCTAAAATTCGTAATATTAAGGAACTTTTAACGCTGTAGAAATATGGTTTCTGTAATTGAGTGAGTGGCGGAGTGGGTAAGGAATGAGTGGGAGAGGGAGCAAGGGGTGAGTGAGGGAGGGGGCTAGGCGTGGGTTGGATGGCTCTGAGGATGAGTGGTAATATCCGTCAACATCCAACGTGGGCGGGTCAAAGATCTGGACGGGGTCGTGGGCGGTGGGCGTGTTAGGTAGAACTCGTGGGCGCCTTGATACCACTTGATGGAGTATAGATGATCGAGCTCCTCCTGCCACGAGGCACTCCAGGTCCCCTCCCCTGCCTCCACCCGCGCGCGGCACCCGCACCCCCGTGATGCGGATAGTGGTAGTGCCTGTAGGGGAGAAGATGGTGGTGAGGGGTGATGGTGGTAGTGCCTGTAGGGAGAAGATGGTGGTGAGGGTGATGGTGGTAGTGCCTGTAGGGGGAGAAGATGGTGGTGAGGGTGATGGTGGTAGTGCCTGTGGGGAGAAGATGGTGGTGAGGGTGTGGTGGCCTGGGGAAGATGGTGGTGAGGGTGATGGTGGTAGTGCCTGTAGGGGAGAAGATGGTGGTGAGGGTGATGGTGGTAGTGCCTGTAGGGGAGAAGATGGTGATGAGGGTGATGGTGGTAGTGCCTGTAGGGGAGAAGATGGTGGTGAGGGTGATGGTGGTAGTTCCTGTAGGGGAGAAGATGGTGGTGAGGGTGATGGTGAGTAGTTCTGTAGGGGAGAAGATGGTGGTGAGGGTGATGGTGGAGTGCCTGTAGGGGAGAAGGTGAGGTGATGGTGGTAGTGCCTGTAGGGGAGAAGATGGTGAGGTAGAGGGGTGATGGTGGTAGTGCCTGTAGGGGAGAAGATGGTGGTGGAGGGTGATGGTTGTAGTGCCTGTAGGGAGAAATAGTGGTAAGTGTGATGATAAAATTTAATAGTAATATTAATAATAATATATGTGAAGGCGAAGATAAATGATGCAAGCTGACAGATGAAAGAAGTAGAAGGCACAGAAGAAAGAAATGAAAAGAAAAGAATAAGAGACGAAAAGCAAAATGATTAAGATAGATTGGGTAATTAAGAATTGAGTACAATATAAATCTAATGTATTCTTCACTTATGAGAAATTACGAGAAATTATTCCCACCCGTGAAACCTTTGAGAACTGAAAGCTTGACACGGTGAGTATTTCAGGTGCCAAGATGTGGATGATGATGATGAGGAGGAGGAAGAGGAGGAGGAGGAGGAGGAGGAGGAGGAGGAGGAGGAGGAGAGGAGGAGGAGGGAGGAGGAGGAGGAGGAGGAGGAGGAGGAGGAGGAGGAGGAGGGAGGAGGAGGAGGAGGAGGAGGAGGAGGAGGAGGAGGAGGAGGAGGAGGAGGAGGAGAGGAGGAGAGGAGGGGGGTTGGGTGTGGGTCTTGAGAGAGTTCTGAGGAGAGGTGAGAATCAGAGCAGTTGTTAAACAGCAATATTTAGTGGTGTTAAATCATGATTTAAGGAGTAGTAGTAGTAGTAGTAATAGTAGTAGTAGTAGAAGTATGTCACCATGACCTGTCTCTCCAGGCTGTACGCAGGAGGAGAGAGAACGAAAAGAACAGGAAGTAATCACAGAAAATCTAGAATGTCTGGTGTTCACAACATCTGGCGAGGGGGGACCAAGTGCAAGATGCTTCTACGCAAGATTGGCTGAGATGTTATCTGAACAGAAGCAGCAGCCCAGAAGCTACGTTGCAGCCTGGTTGAGATGTCACCTGTCCTTCTCTCTACTTTGTCTCAGGGGAACGATGATCGACCCTTAAGCCAACAACAGTCGCAGACAGAATATATGGCAACAGTCACTGAACGCCGCATTGATGTGCAAAGCAACTAAAACGGCGAAGGCAGCTACTTTTGTATTAGGGTTTTTAGGTAATAAAATGTTGGTGGAAGGTGTGGCTATAGGGGAGGTGGAGGCCATAATATTACAATAAAGAGTAAAAACAATAATTATTCGAAGTAGTAAATTTATAGTACACACATTGTATCAACAGTATTATTAAAAGTAGCATCTGTGGTAGCACTCGTATTAGAGATCATAGTAGTAATAGTAGTCGAGAGAGAGAGAGAGTCTTAAGATACCCAGCAAAACCATATTGAAAAATGTGAGTCATCATTGTGTATAATTATTTTCTTATTTCGTTTTACGTTTTTTTCTCTTCGTATTTATTGACTTTGTTCTTTACTTTTCCCTTTTTCGGTCTTTTCTATTTTTTCACATCAAATCTTTCTCACTTCTCCCAATACTCCTTCTTTCTTCTCCCTCTCCGTCTTCCTCCCTTTTTAAACATTTACCCCCACCACTGTGTCCCCTCCTCCTCTTCTCCTCCTTCTCCTCCCCAACCCTCACTCCCTCCTTCCTTCCCTCTTGCCACTCCTTAATATCCCTTCCCATCCCACCCATCCCACCACAATCCCTCATAATTCCTTACTTCATTGTCAAAACCAGACGAAAAAATCCTCGTCTGTGATGTTAGTCTGACTTTTTTTTTTAATTTTACCAGAAAAAATGTCAAAAAATAAAATTATTTGGGATTTGATTTTTTTGGGGGTGTGTTAAGCTCGATATCATGTTAGTGAGGTATAAAATAGTTGTTGTAGTGGTAGTTGTGGTAGTTGTGAAAGTGGTAGTGGTGGTAGATGTCATGATAGGAGATGTAAATGGTGGTAATTGGTGATGGGAGTTATGGGATTTGTGCTAATGGTAGTTGTGATGGTAAGAGTTGTGGTGGTAGATGTGAATGTGGGGGTTGTGGTGGTAAGGGTTGGTTGTAGTTTTGGTAATCAGTATTATTATTAATAACGTTACTAGTGATAATAATGGCGGTTGTAATAATAGATGTGCAGTAGTAGTAGTAGTAGTAGTAGTAGTAGTAGTAGTAGTAGTAGTATAAACGTCAAAAAGTAAAGACACTATTAAATATAACAATAAAAACAACAACATAAATAAAACTTAAAAATAATAATAATAATAATAATAATAATAATAATAAATAATAATAATAATAAATAATAATAATAAAAATAATTACAATGGGTAGACCATCAGCGTACTTGATAAATCATGACCTGACCTTTGAGTTTGACCTTTGACATTTTTCGGATAAATATGCTGATCCTCTCCCCTCCTGCACACCTACTGACAGACAGACATGTTAGTTAGGCAGACTGGTGGTAAAGTTGTGGTATTAAAGATAGAAACATGGGAATTGGCACACTATTAGATAACGTATTTATCGGTATTTTCAGCTACAAGACCATTGCTTATTATTTCCCTGAGGACCATGGTAGCCATTTAACAATATGGCCGCCAGCCTATAGGAGAGAGTCTACTTCTATGCTATGTTCTTCCACATCTTGCTTATTTCCTCACATGTTTCGTCCAGGAAAGGCTACTAGATGTGTGAAGGCTGCTCTACAGTGTACTGCTCTTTGCCTGTGTGGTGGACAATGTGACCGTGAATAGGTCAATCTTGTACAGTAATGCAAAATTATGAACTGATTATTGGAGTTTTCACCTTTTCAACATCCAATTTAATTGTATTCTGTAATTTCTATAACCTCAAGTTGACACATTATAGCCGAGCTGTCCAAGTATTTGATTATTAGCTGATTTATGCCGAATTGTTACTCAGTTTGTTATTTTTTGCTGTATGTGCAGTTAATCTAATAACACAACTGTAATGATTTTTTTTATAACTATTACGCCTTTTCCCGTGTGAGTGAGGTGGGAAAAGGTTCGAGAACCAGGATTTAGCTCAAGTCATTTAATGGACAAGTGATCGGTCTGTTGCACCCGATGATGATAATTTGTGATAAAGGCATTCCGGTTGCCTCTGAGGATTCGAACCTATGAGAGATGTCTGTTTCAGTTTAATGTTTAGTGTTAATGTTATTGAATTTTTGTTGCCTTTGAAAATATTTGTAATTCATAAAACACAACAATTTACTTTAACATGATAAAAAACTTACTCATCAGCTCATATAAGATGATTATTACCTTTCAAAATAAATAAGCTGTAATAATATTGGTTACCTTTATTCTGAATCCAAACTGTCAACGGATCTATGCTTACATGTAGGGAACTGTATTTAATAATAATCGCTATTAAAAATGGTTGTCACAGCACTTATAGGCCAGATCTGAGATGGCCCTATAGCCCAATATGATTACCCTACTCTCCTCTAAGCATGGGCCAAGTTTCATGCTTCTATCAAACCTACAATTCCCTGACTATATAGACAAAGTGAATTAGACCCGATAATACTACTACTACTACTAATAATAATAATAGTAATAATAATAATAATAATAATAATAATAATGATAATAAATAAATAAATAATAAACACAATGTAAACAATAACATAAAACAGCTGATCAACTCCAGCGAAACGCAACAAATCAGATGTGTGGGTCCGTTCACCTGACCAAACCACCTAAATGACCTTCCCCTTTTTTTTATTTTACCTCCGTCTCCTGGGACACTAAATTAATGCTCTTGGTCTCACTTGGGCTTTGAATTTATCTTAAGACACTAGTGAGGGTTATCCTGGAGCCAAGTGGATTAGCTGGTTTCGTTGTAGATGATTTATTGTTTTCAGGCAGATAATTTTTCGTTTTTTTTTAGGAATGATTTTGATTTTGTGGTTTTGAGGGAGGTTAGGTTAGGTTAGGTTGTTCTTAAATTACATCAGAAATTACACGTACACGTACATAATAAAATATAAACTTACACATATACGCACACACACAGATAAATATTAACATATACACACACAACACAGACATAAACATTTACACACATACAAAATTACTCATTCACACACACACACACAATTCAAGACTAAAACCTTCACAGTCTCAGTAACTTACACATTAGTTACTACTCTGAACTCTACTACTTATTAACTAAAGAAAGTAATTTATAACCTACCCTAACCTAATCGGGTTCTCTATCACCTGAGTCCACATTAACCGGTCGCCCGTAATTTCCAGGTGAGAGTAACAGGTAAGCAGGTGGTGATGATTAAACTATGGGTGTGGTCATGTCAAAGGTCATACCTACCTACATTACTGGCCATTAGTGGAACGGGATTGGGGAAAAGGAGAGAAAGGGGAGAAGAGGGAGGTAGGGGTGAGGTTAGGAATTTCCTTTAGAGGTGAGGGGTTGGCTATGTGGGGTGGAGGGGGGAGTTGGCTATGTGGGGATGGGGTGGAGGAGATAGATATGATGGGGGAGGGAGGAATGGTGGGAGGGAGGAATG